CCCTGAGCCTGAGATCAGTGGACTCAGTGGTCTCCTTTAAAAAGCAGCTGAAGACTCACTTGTTCAAGCTGGCTTTTGTATGACCTTCTTCACCACTCTCTCTTTATTCTGCTCTCCCCACCTATTCCACCTTCCTCAGGATCCACTGATTTCCCTCTTTCCTATTCACTCTCTCTCTTTCTTAACATTTTTAATCACAATTGCCTATTTTTTGCTCATTTTAAATATATTTTTAATCATTTTCTAAATTCTTTTTTATATTTTTACATTTTTTGTTTTTGTGAAGCGCCTCGTGATTTTTATCCTGAGAGGCGCTATAGAAATGATATTTTCTTCTTCTTCTTCAAACATACCAATAAAATGGTATTTAGGCTCAAATGTGTTTTAATTTAGTCACCAACAGCTGCAGCTCAGTGAGAATCAGGCGTCAGCCAGTCAGCTGATAAACCATGTCATTTAACAGTTAGCATCAAACCTTCGCGTCTGTTAGCAACAACTTTCCAGAGTGCTCCTAAATCTGCTTGTCGAACACATTTCATGCAACATTTTGACTTCTTCCAGAGTTAGAGGGGGCACACTTGCTCTCTGATTCCTGCCCCATCCAGGGGTCACCACTGCTGCCCTTTAGTAAAACCTGTCAGGTCCTCTTTGACGCAGATCCTTTTCCTGTCCGACCGAGGTTTTTATTGTTCCAAGGGGCGCAGACTGCAGAATCTCTCTCCCCCAGCCTTTTCCTGTTTCCTCTTTAAGAGGAAGTGCTGCTTTGCTTCAGCTCGTTTCCCCTCCTGCATCTTCTCCGGGACAAATCTGGAACGCCTGCTGCAGCGGCCGTAGTTTACAACGGCCACTCTTGATTTTAAAGAACAAAATGTTTTCCATAAAGAGGTGTTTCATCCGAGTTTTTGCAGAAGCTTTCACCCGAACACGAAAACGGGCACGCTCCGAAGCAAACCCGCGCTGATCCCAGATGTCCCCCCCTGAGTGAAGGTGTGTCCTCACCTGCATCCCTGAAGCAAAGAGTTCCCATGGCGCCTCAGCACGTAGGCTCTTTGTTATCACTCAGAAAATAAGTCTTTGTGTTCAAGGAGGGTCGGATCACACGATTACTCAGGATAAGTCCTTAAACAAACATTAAAAAAAATAACTCGGAGACTTTTCTGTCCAACTCTTTGTCGTGAAAGTACAACCGACTGTGTTTATGACGATTCATAACGCTAAACGGTGAGGCGTTTCAAGTCTTGGTTGATGCCACGTGAAGTCCAGCCTCTCAAGCGTAAACACAAAGGTCATTTTGTGTGCATGATTGCATTTCGAGAGCACTTCTGTGCACACTTAGAATGACAAATGAGTCCTTGTTGTCAGACATCTTTCAGGCCATTTCAAGGCAGAGGGAGAGTCGAGTGTCAAATGGTTTCACACATCCTGTCAGCTGAAGCCGCAATGCTTTAGGCAAGATGTTCCAAATGAATGTTGGAACGGGTCGCAACTGAAAAGTCCCGAAAGGAAAAGCAAATCAAAAGAAATCAAACATAAAGGTGAATCGTCCTCGGCCAAACTCTCATTTTAAAGATATACATTCAAGATGTTTTATTCAGAGCGTCGTCTGTCTCCATTCACGCCAGAGCTTTTAAACCGTGCAGTGGATGCTATTTGGGGCAACTCTTGGCGGTAACAAGATGAAAAGTAGCATGGAGTGTGTGTGAATGACTCTCAGCTATGACCACGTCAGATTTTTGTTTAATATCTGCGATACTGATGGAGTTTTGAACATTTATTGTAGTTTTCTGAGGTTGATAAGCTACAGACGCTTCTTTTAATTGAGAGGATTCCTTAAAGGGATATTTCACCCTGAGAGAAATTTAGTCTTTTGCCAATTTTCCCAGAGTTAGATAGGTGGGACAAAGCCATTTGCAGCCAGCCCAATCATTCACCTAATCTGGAAGTGTTCTGTTAGCTTTAGCTTAGCATAAAGAATGTAGGTAAGCTAGCACTTCATATAAAAAAAATTATGAAAATTACTTCCATATTTTTTTTGGTGACCTCAATATTTATATCAGGTGCAAATGAAGAAAATAGGTAACAGAAAGGAATTACAGGAGCCAATTTACACGTGGGACCACATCACAAAGCACTGCTGTGAGCTGCTGCTGAAGCACGCAAGGATGCAGCAGCCCCAAAACTCACTTTTTACTGTCAGCTGGGTGAATTGTTACAAATGTTATTCAGTAAACCTGGAAGTGACCATGTCTGCCAGGTGTTACACCGCTCTGTCATGTCCCTTTGCCTTACAGCTGCAGCTTACAGCAGCGCTAGTGGTTAGCGTTCACTAACGCCGCTTATGCAGGGGCGCCACCAGAAATTTTTGATGGGGTGGCTAGATGGGGACAAATACATTTTTGGGGTGGCACACTAAATTGGTCCTTGTGGTAACTCTGGGAGAGTTTAGCCTGTGGCAATGTATTGTATTGCACCTTTTTAGGTTAATTCACCTGTTGCTGTGTTCACAAAAAAAAAACTATGGAGATTAAGACTTTTTTAAAAGGTGAGTAGCAGAAACATGTGTATTTATTTATTCAAAAATTCTGATTATTTCTTTACTCATTAATTGTATTATTTTTATTTTGTTTTACAATTATGTCTTGAATAAACAAGATCAGTATATGGTTTGATTGAACATTAATATGATTTGTTAACACTGGCTTTTCCTGGGGAGGCCAGCAATTTTCTAGGGGTGGCCATGGCCACCCCTGACCACACCTTGGGGGCGCCCTTGTGCTTACACTAAGCTAAAGCTAACGAAGAACGACTGGGCTGGTTACAAAATGCTTTTCCCCAGCTAACTCTTGGGGAACGGACAAAATTTCATGTAGCGGTGGATTATCCTTCTGGATGTGCATTCATTGATTATACCTTAAGATTTTTATTAAAATCCACATTCACACACATTCAGCAGGATCCTCGTGTGGATATCTGACCAGCCCTAAACCATCAAGGATGTGCATGGAGTCTTGTCAGATAATCCTACTTTGTGTGGTGTGTTAAGAGCACTCGGCTCAGAAGCATTCAGGACGGCTCGGATCACAAATCCAGGCTTTTAAATGTGTTGGATGGCCTTGGTGTGGTTTGCAGGGACAAACGAATGTGCTCTCAATTGAATGTGACATCAGTAAAAGTGAAAAAATCACCATGAAAATCATTTTTGCAGTTTTTTAATGAATAAAATTACATTTTTGCAGTTTTTTAATGAATAAAATTACATTTTTGCAGTACAGAAGGACTATTAACATGACGGTTTTTGTCCTTGTCTCGAAAGGTTTGGACTACCCTGCTGCTGGGTTAATGCATTAGATTAGGTTCATCTGACATGTTTTGTACCTTGCCAGATGATTCATGTTACCGTGTGCAGGTGTTTCTACCAGGTCCTCCAGAGGGATTAACCGTACAACTTATTACTGTAAATCAATACATTGAATGTGAAACACAATTTCAATAGTCAACAAAACATCCACAAAAGCACCTTAAAACTATTTATTGTGTCATTATTTCATCTGTGGAAACAAAGAAAATTATTATATAAAAATGAGAAAAACAGACATTCCAAAAAAATAAATACAGAAAACTTTTTTAAAAATCAAACCTACTTAACTGTAGGATTGATTTAGGAAAGCTGTATTTAAAAGTGTGTGTGTGTGTGTGTGTGTGTGTGTGTGTGTGTGTGTGTGTGTGTGTGTGTGTTTTACAGACGAAGAAATGTTCTGTTAAAGTTTTAAATTCTATTTTCTCCAAAACCAAGATTTGTAACTTTATTATGTAAAGTTTGTTGTTTTTTTCCTTTTCATGTTTAATTGTGGTGCCGTTGTCTGGTCTTGGTTCTCCGAACTCGACTCGACCTCTTCTGTTTCTGTTGATTGCTGTTTCTTAATTGCATTACAAACAGAGGAAACCAGTTCCTAAAAACACTTTTCAGTCTAATGGCCCGGTCCTGCCTTGTGGGCTCCAGTTATTTTAAACTCCAGAGGGCAAGGCAGTCCCTTAGAGGAACCCGTAGTTCCTGTTGGAGCCAGCTTAAAAAAAAAAAGAAACAATATCAAAGTCTGAAAACTTCCAAACAGAAAGTCTTGTCTCCACAGAAGGTGCTGATTCTGCTTTTCAGTGCTTGAAATAAAGTTTTCACCCTTCATTTGAAGTATTTTGCCAATCACTTATCTTCCATTTGTGAAATTTCAATTCCTGAAAATGAATTTTAACAATTAGGGATTACAGTTAGCCACTGAATTCCAAGAGGAGAAGGAAGTAAGAGGGTAAAAATGTTCTCCCTTATCATGCAACTCCTTGGCTTCAAGCAGCAATTTCACAGATTTGATCTGTCAGCTGTAAACATCAGCTCCCTCATGCCATCAGCTAGAATTTGGAAACAGCAGTCTTGTGTTGAGTATACCTTATAGGGTTCACTAGATCCAAAATATGCCTCTTCATTTTTAATTAACACCGCAAAGGCAGCCGAAGGCCAAAAGGTGAGAAGGCCGAAGACCCTTGCCCCCCCCCCCCCCCCCCCCCCCCCAAGACGAATGCTCCACAATAGGAGCTGAAAAAGTGCTTTAAAATCAGATTCCAGCAGGATGGAGAGTGTTTGTGCAGGAGAGGGCTTTTATCAGCGCCAAACACTCACAGGAAGTCCGGTTTGGGATTGTCCATCCAATTCCTGCGTTCCACAGGAAGCTCTGCATAAAAAGCAACTGAAAAACGCCCAAAGACATTTCATTTGTCGCCGCTCGCCTCGAAAGGAGCTCCTCAGATCTGCCTGGAGGTGTTTAAAAAAAACTATTATTTCAGACCTTCAAACTCCAGCTTTAAAAAGAAACTGGAACCATGGAGAAATCTGCTAGTGCACAAGTCCCCCGGCTCGGGCCCATGGCCACCACCAAGCTCGTGCACGCACCTGATGAACTCATGAGGTAAGATTTCGTTTATGGAGCACCAGTACTGGTTCTGACAACATCAAATAACATTAAATCATTAAAATGTAAATAAATAAAATGCATTGCTTTTCTTTGGTGCATCATAACTTTTTTTCCCCCAGTAGGAAAAAAACATATATTATGTTTCAGTCTGTGCAGCAAATTTGATCTGAAGTCAAAGACTCGGGAAAATCAGGAATTTCCTTCACCGCAAACATTCTGGCAGGTTAAAGTTCCACCTTCAGGCTTCAGAATGATCATAAAATCAATTTTGCTCCAGACTGTTAGAAAAATCTCCCTCAGTCACATCAGCTGCGTCAGAATAAAACGTCTGTGAGGGAAAAACAAACATTAAATAAAACAATAAAAACATCCATTTGTAGCGTGCACTGTGACGTCATCCACGGGTCTCCCCACCCTACCCTACCCGCCGCGGGCTGTGGGAGCTGCGCGACTCCCAGCTGGAGGAGTGGGAGGAGGTCCTTCCATCACCCCCCATGCTCCCTGACAGTCCGGGCTCCTGCAGGACAAACCGGACCAGCGGCGGACTTTCACCCCAGCAGGAGAACCAGTTTGTTACCGAAGCTTCCCGCTTATAAGGCGCAGTTTCACTGGATACGTCCCCTGATCCGGCTGGTTGTCCTCTGGACGGTTTGTGATTTATTTTTTTAATGGAATTCTTGCACGCGCTCTGGAGTTGTGCGCGTCCGTGCGCGAGTCTGGCGTTCATGTTTGCTCTCCGATGTGTAACACCACTCTGGCTTTAACTTTTAAACGCGTAACTAGGTCTGTAGGTCTCGTTGGCATCACTTCACGGTGTGAGTTTGAGTTTCACAGATGTGATGATGGATGCGGGTCTGAGCGCTCACCGCCACACCGCGAAACAGCGCCATCTAGCGGCAAAAACACGAACCACAGCCAGAAACACTCGCTTGAATCCCGTCTAAACCATCGCACGTCCACTATAACAGGAGTTTCTGCAATTACAAGCATTTATTATTATTATTATTATACCAAACATTGTGAGTTAACTCGACACCGATCCACTCTTCTGACACGCGTTTCCCCCTGCAGCATCTTCCTCTCAGCCACTGTGTTAGCTGTTCGAAGGGGTCTCCTGCTGCTCACTGTGGTGGTTAGAGAGCAAACAGGCTTTAGATGAATCAACACCTCCTCCAGGATACTAAGGGCTTTTCAGTACTGGAACCTGTGATCACACCTGGGCGGCGAGAGGTCACGACCTGCTGTGTTCAAACAAGCACCAGAGCTAGTTTCACTCTCAGCATATAGATTTGTCTTTTCCGTTGATCCTGGTGCACAGATACCTGCGTCAGGTGAGAGGTTTTAGTTTCATGCATTAGTTTCTGTGAGCCTTCCAGTGCAGGACGGTTACTTTTTAGTCCTGGTGTGGTATCTGAGTCTTGTCTGCAGGCATGTGTAGGATAATTATTCTGCAGAAACATCTGCCTGACAACAGGTCAGATGTATATATATATATATATATATATATATATATATATATATATATATATATATATATATATTGTGGGGAGCATTTACTTGCTGCAACAATTCAATAAAAAAATCATAGGATCAATAAAGCTGTTAATCACATGACTTGAAGCTCTGCACACTCTGCTTTTGGGCAGACAGATCACAAAAAACAAAGGAGTGTTTTGTCCAATTTGAAACATTTGTGTTGAATGAAATCCTGAGAACGTCCAGCTCGTGATGCTGCATGACAGGTCATCTCACCCCGATCTCTGAATAGCTCTCACACTGCTGCCGTCTCTCCTGAGGTCCCCTGAGGACGTCTTCTCTCAGACATGACCCAGCTGAGGAGACAGGAGTCCGTTTCCCTCCTGAGCTCTGTCTCTTAGATAGGATTGATCTGTGCTTCTAGAGGAATTAAATCTATTCTGATGGATTTGTTCCTATTTTTCACACATTTGTGCACCAGAAACACCGGCATGCTTTATTTCCTGCACGATCACACCAAGTTTTGCTCTTCTTACAGGTAGCCGTGGCCATCCTCCTGAAGGAGAACACACTTCCAACGTGAGGAGACTTGGGCCACCATCCATCCACCCCTCCCCCGCTCATCCTCCAACTGGCACGGAGTAGAGTGTGAGAGCCCCAGCTAGGGAACGTGGGAAAGAGAAGACGATGATGTACGGAACGCTGCTGCTCTCCTCCACCCTCTTTGTCCTCCACGCGATGGGCACTCCCCAGTTCTTCACACACCACGGGTAACGGCTCACACACTCCTCTTCCTGTCGATTTTAAACGCGTCCACTTCAGCCGTCACTTCTCCCATCCTCAGCTAGACAACGTGCTGAAGCAAAATCCAAGAGTTTGTTCTGTCAGGGTCCAAGTTCAACCGCGATGCTTTTAGAAGCACACGGACGAAGAAGCTCATCTTGTAATTTTTTAAATGTGCATTGGCGACGGAAACAAACCAAATTAAAGCTCGAGTGGAGACAGGCGGACCAGAGATCAGCTTTCAGGTCAGATTTAATGTTCGATCTCACGCTTGGCTTTTGCAAAAAACCTTTGCAGGAGGAGGGTGTGTGGCTGGAACCTCCATCATCACAACGTTGTCATGACAACAGAGTCATACGTCCAACCGGTACACAAGCCCTACATCACCCTGTGTCAGGGTCATCGACTCTGCAGCACCTACAAGTGAGACACACACACACACGCACACACACACACACACACGCACGCACACACACACACACACACACACACACACACACACACACACACACACACACACACACACACACACACACACACACACGCACACACACGCACATGCACATGCACGCACGCACAGACACACACACACGCACACACACACACACACGCACGCACACACACACACACACACACACACACACACACACACACACACACACACACACACAACTAGTTTCACAGCTGACGCTGCTTTAGTTTGGTTTATTATCAGATGAAAACGATACTTGACTTTTCCAAATCAGCACTTTCTTCTTCTCACACATAGAAAAACCCAGTTTACTGTACATAAACTGGGTCACAGTGGCACACAGTTGAGTGGAATCTAAATATTGAGCACTTTGTGTAACTACGGGAAATGAGCTGCCTGCCCACAGGGACCAGGGCCCTTGTTTACTTTGGACTCTCTCTCACTTCTTGCTTACACATGTTCTGTTAGTCAGATGATTGTTTCCCCACCATGCCACAAAGCGCTCCACCAGCTCTCTGTACTCAGCTTCCTGTCCATCTCTGACACACCCGACGACTGCAGAGTCATCTGAGTATTTCTGTAGATGACAGGTCTCTGATTTGTACTGGAAGTCTGAGGTGTACAGGGTGAAAAGGAATGGTGAGAGTACAGTCCCCTGTGGTGCTCCAATGTTACTGATCGCCTGGTTTGATGTGCAGCTCTTCAGCCCCACAAACTGTGGTCTGTCAGGTAGTCTTTAATCCAGGCGATAGTTGAGGCCCCCACCTGTGTCTTCTGGAGTTTCTGGCAAAGTACATCAGGCTGGATTTTGTTAAATGCACTGGAGAAATCAAAGAACATGACCCTCACAGTGCTGCCTGCTTTGTCCAGATGACAGTGGGTTGGTTGAAGCAGCTGGATGATGGCATCTTCAACTCCAACTCCATGGCAATAAGCAAACTGCAGCAGGTCCTGATATGTTCTAGTTTGCTTATTCAGCTGGACCAACAGGAGTCTCTCCAGGACCTTCATGATGTGGGATGTCAGGGCAACCGGTCTGTAGTCGTCATTGACTGATGGGCGAGTTTTCTTTGGAACTGGAACAAGGCAGGATGTCTTCCACAGGACTGGAACCTTCTGGGCCAGGCTGAGATTGAAGAGGTGCTGCAGAATCCCACAGAGCTGCTCTGCACAGGCCTTCAGTACTCTGGGGCTGACACCATCTGGACCTGCAGCCTTGTTCCTGTTCAGTCTCTCCAGCTGCCTCTTCACCTGACTTCTAGAGATAGGTGGGAGGGGGAGGTAAATGGGGCAGCAGCATCTCCTGACTTGGTTGAAGACAGATTTATAGAACCAGAAGAGTCCATGACTGCGTTAGAGGACAAACGAGCTGGCGTGTGACAGGAAAATGTTGGATCAGAGGAGGATGGGATGTCTGATTGGCTGGGGACAGGCAAGGAGGATGCTGGGTTTGTTCCTGAACTGAACTTTCAGCCTCAGTCTCCCTCCTCTAGCCAGCAGAAGGGAAGTGGCTCTCCTGTCAGTCTGCAGCAAACACTGTGATTTAAAATCCTCCTTAATCTCTGAAACATTCTCCGTAGTCTAATAGCAATATTCCCACCAGATTAATGTTTTCTCATCCCTGTAGTCTGACAGAGGGCAAAAAGGCTGCATGTGAGCATTGAATCATCAATAAATTGCCCCATACTGCACTCTCTCTAACCGTGTGTGTGTGTGTGTGTGTGTGTGTGTGTGTGTGTGTGTGTGTGTGGTCTCCACAGGACAACATACTCGCTGGGTTACCGACAAGTGAGCCGAGCGGCGTCACCTTCACATTTCTACCCAGAATGCTGCCCAGGCTGGCAAAGATTACACTCCCACCACTGCAACCAAGGTATCTTCCAGTGTGTGTGTGTGTGTGTGTGCGTGTGTGGCACTCTCTTACTTCACAACTCTGAACGTGTGTTTAATGAGGAGCTAAGGAGACGGTTTAGGACTGAAACGACTAGACAGAAAGCAGAGAGGTTGACAAGTTTTAGATAAAATTTGCATCTTGGAAAATTCCTGCTGACCCATATTTTAACTCTTGGATTGATCAAAAACATTTACACGACTAACTGTAGAAAATGTAAAATCATGTTAACTCCTGCCGTGTTCTAGCTCAGCACCCGAGCTTTAGCTATTCCTGTGTCTTCAGAGGTCAGCTGGCGCTAGCAGCCATCTTGAATGAGTTTCACTCCAAAAGGCTGACTGGTTTCAGACGAACAGCCCAAGAGCCAGCGGTTCGTCCGATTAGCTTGTGGCAGTTGATTAAAGGAACTCATTATTTGGTGAAAGAAGACGAAGCTGTGACTGATCGGTTTGTGTTTTTATCGTCCTCTGCAGCCACGTGTGCAGAACCTTGTGTGAACGGCGGTACCTGCCTCAAACCCAACAGATGTGCCTGTCCTCTGGGCTGGAAGGGACCTCAGTGCCAAACGGGTACCCACAACTCCTACTGCGACTCACCCGCACAGTGACACACACGTCTGTTTGCACGCACCTCAATTCACGTTTGGTTTTTACTAATCTGTCAGATGTGGACGAATGCAGCGGGAGGCAACGGTGCTCCCAGGAGTGTGTGAACACAGCTGGGAGCTACAGATGTGCGTGCAGAGACGGCTTCAGGCTCGCCGGAGACGGTTGTTCCTGTCAAAGCCTTCCCTCACCTCCACCTCCACCTCCACCTGCAGCTCCAGCTCCATCCTCCAGCAGCCAGACAACAATGGGTGGTCATGCTGAAGCGGGTAAATGAGTGTGTGTGGAGCATGGACGTCATTTTCGCTTTAGAAGTGGGGGGGACACAGGGAGTGTGTGTGTGTGTGTGTGTGTGGGGGGGGGGGGTATCTTTACAATATGCTCTAATAGGAAACAGGCTTCAACACAAATGGTTGTTTTCCACTTGGTCCTAGAGCTCAACCAGTGTCAATTTAATATAGTGTAATATTGTTTTTGGATGGTAAAAAGTGCAGGGGTCAAAACTTGACTTTGGAAAAAGTGTGTGTAGGGGGGGGGGGGGGCATGTCCCCCCTGTCCCCCCCCCCCCCCCCCCCAAAATTACGTCCATGGTGTGGAGTGAGTATAATTTTGTATAATTTTGTTTTCTGCAGCAGGACAGAAGAAGGAAACATGGCCAGCTTCGCGGTCCATTATTACTTTTGGTACGCGCTATGCCACTCTCAACTCGTACCGTGAGTAATAATGCACTGCGACTGGTACCGACTGCAGACGGCTGTCGGATGGGCCGGCTCCGTGCGGTGAGACGGGGACCATTTGGAGTCCTGATGATGGCTCCGTTCACTGCTAAACATCTGCCTTTAATACAGCTCCCATGCTAATCCAGACATACTTTCATCCCACACACTCCATTAAGTGCCCTAAAATGTTGCATTGTTGTCTTTCGACAAGGAAAAGCCCATTTTCATGCACGCATGTTTCTTGCATCTTAGCAACACAATAATACCCCCACCCCCCCACCTCGTTTCAAGTCCGGGTCTGCATTATTGCTCTTTTGGGAGAGTCTGAACATGAACCTTTAAATCAGTTCTACCTTTTTCCTGATTCCTTCCAAATCTTTGGGAGATTTTCTGAGTCACCAATCCATAAAGAGGAGGAGATGTTGTTTCCTGCACTTGCAGACGAAGAAACGTTTCCGTCCACGCGAGTGATTGCCAAATTCCTCCGGCTCTCCTCCAAAACTCTTCATTTATCAGAGTTTCTCCAGAAAAAATGGACCACAAACGAAACGTTCACCTCGAGGACTTTGCGATGGATTGCTGAGTCACCAGAGACGTGACAACACACAGAAATGAGTCAGACCTTTGTGTTCATGAATGATGAGGAGGGTGAATTTGCAGGAGCACGGATGCAACAGAAGACGTTCTGTTATCTCCTCACATCGGTGGGATTCTGATGGAGATCACAAACGTAAACACGGGCCTAAAACGCTCAGAACGTCAACTCCAGCAAGCGTCTGGGACCACTTCCTGCTTTCCAGCCTCTCCCGCCTTTTTCTTTTTTCTTTGTGTTCTTGGCCAGCGTTCATGTTCTCATTCCAGCTCCATCAACCCCTGTCTGCTGGGGGTCATGGCTCCACACACACACACACACACACGCGCGCCCACGCACGCACGCACACACGCACGCACACACACACACACACACACACACACACACACACTTTTCCTCACCCTCTCTCTCAACATATTCTTCTCTTCATTACGAACCACATCTGGGAGAGATTGAAAATATCCCAGTTTGTCTGCAGGAGTGGAACTAGAGAATGTGTGTGTGTGTGTGTGTGTGTGTGTGTAAGTGAGCCATATTCTTCCTAAAAGTGGGCTGAACTTTTGCCCGTCTATTTCTGGTGGCATCTCTCTCGGATTTTTTCCCACATCGGTGACCCTCCCCACCCCGACCCCTCCACCCACTCCGTGCCCTAAATCCCCGCTGTCTCCTTGCAGCTCTGACTGGTTTTCTGATGTAACGATGTTGTCATCAATCACCAAGGCATCAGCACAAACGCCACGATTCTCACCTTTGATCCATGCACAAATCCCTCCCACCGCCTCTTGTCAGGCCTCATTTTATCGTCTGCTTCTGAAAGGTGAAATGGGGTTGATAATGTTTTTGCCCAAGTGTTTGATTTGCAAATCATCGCATGAACTCGAGGACGGGGTTTAATCAAATTTCTTACTCAGCATTAGATGATTAAAATTTAAATCTCTAAATTCCTCCAGGAATTCCCAGACATTCCATTGTTTCATTTTTTTTAGAAATTCCTGCACACAGTTATTCCAGTTCTGATGCACGTCTTTGCTTTTGTTGTTTTCTTCAGGAGGAAGCTTCAGTCCGGTGGAGAACGTGACGGAGGAGGTGCAGAGCCTGAGGAACAGAGTGGAGCTCTTGGAAAAGGTAGGCCTCGTGTTAAAACCACCTACTGTGATGCCTCCCAGCTGGGCCCTACAGGACCACCTTGTGCGCTGCAAAAAAATCCAATAAACACCTGAGCTGCTGCCTCTACTTACAGAAACAAGAACTAATAACACAGAAATAATGACTGCTGTTGCTTTTTTTGATTTAGAAAGTGATTCACTGTTTTCTTTCTTAAAGTAACACTAAATAAGTTTCCCGCCTGTTCCTGCAGCAGTTTAGCTGGTGCTAACAATGAGCTAATGCTAATACAAGCCAAATGATACTAAATAAGCCACAAAGTAAAACGGTCCACACTGTTGAACAAGAGGTTATAGCTCACAAGTCCAGTAGCAACAAAGCCAGGTCATCATCAGTCTTTGCATAGATTGCACCGATCTTCACTCTGGTTTTAGCTCTTTGCTTCACCTCCAAATACGTTACTCTCTTAATTTTACTTTTAGGCTCCGCCATGATGCCAACAGAAAGAGCAAGCTCTTGTGCTTTTTATTGATGGTCGGCCAACTGAAAAAGCTAACTGCTAGCCTTCACATTAGCCACTGGCGGAATAAACAGCTATTACTGTAAAACAGGTAGAGAGCCCCCACTAGTGTTATACCCAAACCACAAAACTGTTAATTGTAGTTTCTGTTCCGCAGAGGGCTACAGAGCTCTGTAAATGTGAAGTTGTTCAAGTTTCTGGCTCAAGAATCACTGAAACCAGTTTGAAAGTAAAAGCTTAAAGTGTTAACTCTCTAGTGTTGCTTTAAGATTCTCTTCTGTTTGTGTCTACTTGTGAAGAAGTTGCAGTTGGCATTGGCGCCGTTCAGCAGCTTCTTCCCTCTGTCGACAGATGAGGGCTTGTCAGAGAAAACCACCTTACTGTCCCACTCCTTCCAGCAACTAGACCGCATCGACTCCCTCAGTGAGCAGATTGGCTTCCTGGAGGAGCGCCTCGGCACATGTGAGCATCTGCATGCTGACCTTCGGTCCTTTGTTGCACTTAAAGGAGGGAAAATCCAAGATTGAGTCGCTTTGGGAAGCTTTTCTGCCAAGAAAATAAACGCTTGGAACTTTTTTAAAAGAGATCAAAGCTCAATTTCACAATTTTCTATAATTCAATAAAGTTTTTAACATTATAAAATTATTGAAATGTAATAGCAGAATATTTTTGATTACAACATGACAGCTTTAACATCAGCACTTAAGTATAATATCATTAAGCCGGTGAAGATAATAGAATTATGTGACACAGCTGGAGTCATGAAGTCATGTGGAAAAGTTCCCCAGAAAGATTTCCTGTTTGGAAACCAAAGAGTGGTCGAAAAGGTGCGACTGTCTTCAGAGTGAGTTCAGATCTGTAGGAGTGGGCTTTTGTGGAAAGTTCATAAACAATTAATATGGGATCTGTTTTAAACAGCTGCTTGAACAACCTCAGTTTAGAGAAATAGTTGTTTGTTCTGACCAGATTGACAAGCTTAGACCAGACAGTGAAAGTTACAAAGTAAACGTCTTTAAACAACTCTAATCCCAACAAAATGTGCATCACAGCAGGGGCGGATTTAGGACTGAAGAAGATCCGGGGCTTAACACAACCACGCACGCACACACGTGACACGCACTAGTCAACATCATATATATTTGTCTTGTACCACATAATTTTTAATCTGAAGCTACATATTAAGCATATTCAGGGCAGAGTATTGTTCCTGTTAGTGTTTAGTGTGAGATGATAGTAAATATTCCCTTTCTTTCTCCAACAACTTTACCTGACAGTAAGCTAACTTTAGGCAAACCAGCAGCACAACAAATATTTTCAAATAAGACTCACAAACCTGAGTCAGCACCAGACTCATCAAAGCTGGGGTTCTGTCGTTGTACTTTTGGTCTAAAAAACGTCCTTATGTCCATCTTCACTCATGCGTTTCAGGCAGAGACTGCAGAAGAAGCCGGCTGCTGAAAGGCTTCTTCTTCAGTGGTGGAGGCTCAGGCAGGCTGTATACAAACTACTGCCAGCTGCTCCCTCTCTGTTGGACTTTGGTACTGCATGTTACTTCCGCGTTTTAGATCCGGGGCTTTTCATAAAACATTCGGGGCTTGAGCCCAAGTAGCCGGGCCTAACGCCGCCCCTGCATCACACATTTAATTTCCGCAGAAATGTGAAATTCCAAAACAGAAGTGCTACAGCAGCTAATTTCCACTTAAAATTATTATAAAATACTTTTAAAAAAACATCTAAAATGTGAAAAATGACCTAATACAAACACAGGTTTGTAAATGTTTTTGTATGAACCGCTCAGATGTTTTTAATGTGGAGTTGTTTTCAAACTGCAGTGAGCCATTTCAGGTCCTGCTCAACCTAGCTGTTAGCCTGTCAGTCCTGTCAGAATGAAACAGTTTCTCCACACCGAGCTTCTTGCAGCAGGTAAGGTAAAAGTGGTTCCTAATCTTTCCACAGAAACTCATTTGAAAGCATCTAAAGTGTCCCTTTAAATCATCAAATGTTTTTTGGGGGGGCTAATAATAAAACTCTTTAGTTTTTAATAATAATGTCGTCAATCTGAATAGACAAAATAAGTTATGGTCTCCTGAGAAGATACGCTGCAAACAAGTTTTGTGCAATATTTACAATAATTCAAGTCTTATTTTGGAATCTAATAAATTGAGAGTCACGAGATTTTCAAGTTGCCAAATTTATATTTAAATGGCTTTTTAGGAAATAAAAGTATATATTCATATTATAAAAATGGCAAATCTTATTCTTATATTATTTATTTTTATGAAAATCAGTAAATTAGCTATAATTGTGCCACAAGTTGCTGGAGAATCCCAGTCTGACAGCCTCACTTATCACTGGAGACTTTTCTGTAGTTTTATTACGTCACAAAATATTTACCAAGTTTAATCAGATTAAGATTCAGCCACTTATTAAAGTGTTAGATTTTCAACTACCACCCTCAACAGAAAAAGCTGATAAGGAGCTGTATGTCTGGTTTTGTTTGAATCGTTTCTTGTTCCCGGCACACTGGAAAAACTCTCTCCATCTTCTCTCCTCCAGGTTCTTGTCGGGATAACTAGCAGCTCAGCCCGGGAAGCTGCCGAGTCCTCACTACTCTGAAGAAATCACTGATCAGATGTATTTTTTTTTTTTACATAATTTAACAACGTTCCTCAAAGATTTGTTTCCTTGTCGCGTTGAATCACTTGTCAAAGCCATGGCATGTTGTAAAGGTACCTGAGTCGGGGTTACGCCATCTCTGTAGCATCTAAATCACACCCTGTAGGGGTCAAAGGTCAGAATAGCCACTCACTTTCAGTTTGTTTTGCATCGGTGCAGCTGTGTCCCATCCACCAGAGCTCCAGGCTGTCCTGGGTCTGGCGCGGACGTCTGTATTTATATTTAAATTATGAACACATTTAATCATTGCTCAATAGTTTCTGTCTAGTTTTGTAACGTTTTGTAATAAAAGTCTAAATCAAAAACGCCACGTTTGTGTGTGTGTGTGTGTGTGTTATCCTGACATCACCTGATGTGCTGCAGTCTGGGCTGACTTAGTCCTGCCCGAATTGAAACTTTTGCTCAATAGAAGAAAGAAAAACAAAATAACCTCTTTGGGATTACGGGAGTTTGTTTCCTCAGTGTTGCTAAAAAAAAAAAGATGGTGCAACAAGTCACTGATAAGCATCGCCACGTGTTCAGCCACAAATGTGGAAACAGGTTTTAGCGTTTTATGTTGAAATTTAAGATTTTAGACTGCTGGAAGAAACGGAGATTATCTGATCAGGCCAGTGAGAGAAAAGCTCAAACTCTCAAATCTGAGATTGCTCATAAATATTCAGCAGAAATCCACTTTAAATAAATAAACAAATAGCAGAACTAAGACTTTAGGGTTCTTAAAAACCTCAGGAAAGCCCAAACAAAAGACTGGGAATAATTAGCTTTTCCCAGCGATACATCAGGATTCATGACTCTTAATCTATCAGCAGCAATACTCATTCATCCTTGCACATCATTACACATCCATGCTTCCCCTCTGCTGATTTTAATTTTCTCCCTCAGTTCTTCAGTTTTTAAATTGAAACTGAAGTTGTTTATTTCTTGTTGCTGTACAGTCGAAACTTAAAGGTTACAACATGATGCAAAAGTTCATTTATGTCATTAATTCAACTTAAAATGTGAAATTAATAAATGAGATACTCATTTCATGCAAAATCAGATACTTTGTTATAGTTGTGATGATTCTGCTTTACAGCTTATGAAAACCCCAAATTCAACATCTCAACTAGCATATTGTGAAAAGGTTCATCGTTCTAGACTCTAATCAGCTGATGAATCCAAAACACCTGCAAAGGGTTCCTGGGTTTCTCAACGGGGCTGTAGCGCCCCCCAGTGGGCGTTCAGACTATATAAGAGGGCGCTGAGATGCTAATGGTGGGCGCTAGCGGTACAGGACATTCATAACAGACAATGGCTCAGAATAAAAATAAGTGTTGACAGAACAATGTGGACTACCTTCGGTATGGACGTATTCCTTCACCCACGAATCCACAACTCCCCATGTGCCCGCTTTGTGAGCAAGTTTTTTCAAACGAAGCGATGAAACCCTCCCGGCATAAGGAGCACTTGTCCAAAATGCATCCAGACAAAGCTCCAAAGCAACTGAACTATTTTCAGGTAATTAAAAGAGAGACACTCTAAAAGAGGTAGCATTAGCGGTGTTTGCTCGAAGCTCGAATTTACCGGACCGAGGATTATTAGCTTCCTACAATATCTCATTGCTAATAGCTAAAACATTTTTTATGATACTTTCTTTAATGACATATTTGTTTTAAACAGTTTCAAACTCAAGGCTGAATTAAAAAAAAAGTAAGTATGATTTTTGTATCAAAAACTTTCCGTTTCTATTTCATTGGTGGGCAGTGAGGGATTTCAGCATGAGGGGGGGGGGGTTAGCTGAAAATGGTTGAGAAACCCTGCTTTAGAAGGTCTCTCAGTCTTATGTTTATGTTTATTCATTTCGCAGATGCTTTTATCCAAAGCGACTCACAGTCTATAGGGCGTATTGTGATCTGTGGGGGAAACCGGAGTACCCGGAGGAAACCCACGCATGCATGGGGAGAACACGCAACTCCACGCAGAAGGGCCGCGGCCGAGTTTTTGAACCTGCGACCTTCGTGCTGTGAGGCAACAGTGCTAACAACTGCGCCACCATGCAGCCACCTGCATGTCAGTCTTAGCTGAATTACTGAAACAAATAGACTTTTGCAGCATATTATCGTTTTATAGTGTCACCTGTAGGAGGTTTTGTGTAGTTTTATCGTTTTTACCGGATATGTAAAACCTAGTTTATTTTCTAAAATAACTTCACAAAAGCGGCCATGAAGTTAAAAAAGCAGAACAGATGGTGTTGCTAGAAGGTAAACGAGACATGTAATTAAAATAAGCTGCAGACAGAAAGAAAAGCAAGAACTTCAAAGAACTTAAGAAAAAAAAATTATTCACACACACACAAGGCTCTGCACAATGTCAGCTGTGTTTCTGTCATACAACTAAGTTACAACTTGATTAAAAACAAAAAAATGGGGGAAAAAATAATTTATTTATTTTGCGTATCCAAATGAATCATGAAAGTGCTTTAAAAATGCTGTGAATACTTTTTAACAATATCTTACACACCTGCCTGAAATACCAAAAGGCGGGGTCTCTGCCACCTTAAACTTGGGTCAAAAAGCCAAAGATAAATTAGTTTTGGAATAAAACAAATCAGGGAATAAACGACTGACATTTATCTAATTATAAATAATACCATTCATATTTCTTGGGGATCAAAACCAATTTGGTCGAATGCTTTTTAAACATTTGGACAACTTCCTGCAGAGGCTGAATTACAGAAACGTAAACAAATGCATCTAAACTAAGAAAAGGTTAGTTATTAGTAGTACTAGCATATTACTCACCAGCCTTTAACACTAACGACATCCTAGCCTTTGCACGTATTTAAAGTGGGACTCACCTAAAATCACGGTATAAAAATGAAACGTTGCATTTACTTAACCAAGTTTCGTCAACTGGTTCCACTAAACCTAATTGCTTAAATGTAAAGAGTAATCTATATAGTTACATGTCCGTATGATAAAAGTAAATGTATATTACTCTTTACATGTAGGAACTAGGCTTATTGGAACCAGATGACACAAGTATATTCAACATTTCATTTCTTACAGTGTACTTCTATCAGCAGATACAAGCGATGATTAAATCTCTTCATGAGTTTCTTTGAGGGACTTTTGTTACAACAGGTCAGTCTACAGTTACCAGCTACTACTGAAAACAAAAAAATTATATTATACACTTGCTGCTTTTTAAGCCAGTTTTATGTAAATCGCCTTTAGAAATGTAACTAAGGAATAACCAGGCTGCTGCAGTACATTCTCTTGTGGTCTGATGGCTGAAATGGCGAAGGAAAACAAAAGAGGAAAAAAGGCATTTGGCAAAAATCAAAACCTGGATGTAAACAAAATGTTCAGTCAATTTTACAGTGCTGTGAAAAAGAACGTTTCTCCTCAGAGACTATTTTAAACTTTATACGATTCAGATCAGCAAAAAAAAAAAAGGTTATTAGAGCAGACCTGAGTAAATACAAAATGTAGTTTTCAAATGAAGTTTATTAAGAGAAAAATCAAACCAACTTGACTCCATGTGGAAAAAGTAATCAATCCCCTTATTATTTATCCACCTTACTCAGAAAGCTGAGTTCAGCTTCCCCAGATCTGTAAGTCACTAAATCAGTTCAACAGGACCTGTCTAACACGAAGACTCAATGGCCTCAAAAAGAAACACGTCAACATTTAAAGAGTTTCGAGGAATTATTCAGTGATGAGCCAAAAGTGGAACTTTTTGAAGACTGTGTCTCATCACGTCTGGACTAAAACCAACACAGCATATCAGAAACGTCATTGCAACAGTCAGACACAGTGGTGGTAGTGGGATGGTCTGGGGCTGCTTTGTTGCTTCAGGACCTGAAACATTTGCTGAAATTAATGGAACTGAATTCTGCTCTAAATGTCTGACATTTGACCTTAAATGGGACATTATATGTAAAGCGTGTCTTTTGTGCTGCCATTAGGTTCTGCACTTCTGCTCTAAACACTCAAATGATGGATTAAAACATCCGTCCGGTTTCTGCCAGCATTTGGGTTTGTTGCCTAAAAATGAGCCGTTTCAAAAAGTCCCCGTTTGTGATGTCACAAAACTAGAGAACCTATAGAACCACTTCTCATCTGGGGTAGAACAGCTGCTGTTGGAGAAGCAGCGGCTCTACTTAGAGTCCCTCCTGGATATGAAGCTTCTCAGCTTACAGCAGCCTGAACAGGGATGGATGGGCGTGGCTGGGTGGGCGTGGCCAGCTCCAGCTTGTTTTTACAGTGCAAGTGCCCTGAAATGACTCATTCTTGAAGGTACTGACAATGTCAAGAATTACACTGCTGAGATTGCTTTATTGGACAGGGATTTTGTGTTAAGTACTTAAAAAACATGTATTGTATCGACCTTTAAACAGGCTGAAGTAGAACTATTCTACAGTGTGGGGGCCAAACACCCCCACAGTGGCACGAGAATTTATCAGTTTTCACAAATGCTTGATTGCAGTTGTTGATGTAAGACGGGTTACAGCCAGTTATTAATCATTGTTAGTAAAGGGCCTGGTTGGTTTGGGGAATCATTTTCATTTGAAAACTGCCTTTTGTATTTACTCAGTTCTGCTGATCTGAAACATTTAAGTGTCAAAAACAAAAGAAATCTGCAAGAAAGGAAATATTTTTCTCACATCGCTGTACGTGGTTACCGTCAGTACGCTAGAATCACACAAATCGATTTTATGCAAACATGTTGAATATTCCAAAAGTGCTACGAATGATCAAACTTAAGGCCAGAAATGTTCACATAAAAAACAGCCATCATTTTCTTTACAGAGGTTAAAGTTGAACTTAAATCCTTTCAAATACATCAAACGCTTTCTAAGCCACGCAAAAATCAATCTGAAGTTATTATTAAACCCGTTTCAGGTATAAATGTACATCATATTAAGCGAGTTGTGTATTTCGTAAGCTCCCTAATAATATAGAGCAAGATCAGCCTCATAATAATGAGTTATATATATCATTAGTAAAGACAAAACAGTCAGTCAGTGACCAATTAGGCATTGGAAACATCTCAGGGGGTCGACATCTTGGCACAGCAGGTAGCTTTCACAGGTGTCGCCTTTTGTTGTGACATCTTATTCTGTGGAACAAAAGCAACCTAAAGAGCATAAAAAACAGCATCCTATGGAAAATAAATAATCCAAGTGAGAGGAGTCTAGCTGCTGATTCCTTTCTTTCTTGTTTTTTAAAGAAAACAGGGAAATAAAGATGCACCTTAACACAACAACACACAGACGGGGTGTGATTGTTAACACTTGCGTTCCTTACTTTCTGACATCATAAAATATCTATTTCTCACGGAGTTGGAGCTGAATTCATAGTGACAGAACAAAAAATGTTCACGTCAACAAGGGTCCAAGTCGACTCCACGCCGTCCGAAGCTCAACGAGGCGCCTCTACGTTCGCTTTGAGGCAAAAAGACTGGAACTCAGAAAAACGGAACATCAAAAAGCAGAAGATGTTGGCAGGTACAGATAACTAAAGTAAGGCATTAGAAAAAAAAAAGATTTCTTTTGAACAGAGAAGTGAAAGTTCAAAGTTTATCAGGTAAACAGAAGGCAGATCGAGACAAAAAGAGGAGAAAAAAAAAAGGCCAAAATAACACAAATGTGTCGTAAAGCAGGACGATAACAACGTCAGGCTTTCCAAAGCCAGAGTATAAAGCAACCATACGGTGGACAAAGCCATCCAAAAGGCATGCATGAGCAACACACATCCATGCTGTTCGGCTTGCCGTCCGTCACTCCACTCGGGGCGTGCAGTGCAGCGCTGAGGGTCGGGACTGGCTGTGCTGCGTGGTCGGGCCGGAGGCGGACCGGACCAGGTGTCAACTAGACGAGAGGAAACCCATCTCGTGTTGCTTCCTGGCCAGGTAACAGGACAACCTGGAGATAGCATGGGGTCTGGGAGGGGCGAGGAGGAGAAGCTAGAACACAGCAAACACTCAGTGCCTCAGGGGCCCGTTACTTTTGATGACAGAGTCAGAGACTTCCAAGAAGGCGGTGCGCATCAGGTCGAAGGATTTATCTGACAAAGACGCCACGTCGTCGGCCGTCATCCCCTTTGTCTCGATCTTTGGGAGGATTTTTAGCTTGATGGTTCCTGCAGAGACATGACGTTCAACTGTTAAAGAGATCTTTGCAGAAAACGAAATCCTCACCAAAACTTGCTGCAAAATGCAGAGGATTTGATAGGATACCTGATTTGAACTGCTTTTCTTTCCGAAGGTAGAAGTTGCCGTAGGAGGAGAAAACTACCGGTATGATGGGAACCTGGAGGAGAGAGGGAAGGACCCAAAACGTCTGAATGTTGAGCTTTGTTTATAACTCACTGCCTCACTCCCTACCTCACTTGCTACCTCACTCCCTTACCTCACTCGCCACCTCACCTGCTACCTCACTCCCTTACCTCACCTGCTACCTCACTCCCTTACCTCACCTGCTACCTCACTCCCTTACCTCACTCGTTACCTCACCTGCTACCTCACTCCCTTACCTCACTCGCTACCTCACTCCCTTACCTCACTCGCTACCTCACATGCTACATCACTCCCTTACCTCACCTGCTACATCACTCCTTTACCTCACTTGCTACCTCACTCCCTTACCTCACCTGCTACCTCACTCCCTTGCACCCACGCTACCTGCTACCTGACTCTCTTGCTACCTCCTCTCAGCTAGCTAATTCACTCAGTATAGGACAGCCACTTTTTGGAGAGTCTGACAAAAAAAAGGATCTGGATTAAAAACGTCATGTCAAGCTAAAAGATGTCCGTGACACTGCAGACCCCCTGCATGCCAAATGTGTAATCTTTTATAAAGAAGGTAGAAGTTGCCGTAGGAAGAGAAAACTACCGGTATGATGGGAACCTGGAGGAGAGAGGGAAGGACCCAAAATGTCTGAATGTTGAGCTTTGTTTATAACTCACTGCCTCACTCCCTACCTCACTCGCTACCTCACTCCCTTACCTCACCTGCTACCTCACTCCCTTACCTCACTCGTTACCTCACCTGCTACCTCACTCCCTTACCTCACTCGCTACCTCACCTGCTACCTCACTCCCTTACCTCACCTGCTACCTCACTCCTTTACCTCACTTGCTACCTCACCTGCTACCTCACTCCCTTGCACCCACTCTACCCGCTACCTGACTCCCTTGCTACCTCCTCTCAGCTAGCTAATTCACTCAGTATAGGACAGCCACTTTTTGGAGTGCCTGACAAAAAAGGATCTGGATTAAAAACGTCATGTCAAGCTAAAAGATGTCCGTGACACTGCAGACCCCCTGCATGCCAAATGTGTAATCTTTTATAAAGAAGGTAGAAGTTGCTGTAGGAAGAGAAAACTACCGGTATGATGGGAACCTGGAGGAGAGAGGGAAGGACCCAAAATGTCTGAATGTTGAGCTTTGTTTATAACTCACTGCCTCACTCCCTACCTCACTCGCCACCTCACCTGCTACCTCACTCCTTACCTCACCTGCTACCTCACTCCTTACCTCACCTGCTACCTCACTCCCTTACCTCACTCGTTACCTCACCTGCTACCTCACTCCCTTACCTCACCTGCTACCTCACTCCCTTACCTCACCTGCTACCTCACTCCCTTACCTCACTCGCTACCTCACCTGCTACCTCACTCCCTTACCTCACCTGCTACCTCACTCCTTTACCTCACTTGCTACCTCACCTGCTACCTCACTCCCTTGCACCCACGCTACCCGCTACCTGACTCCCTTGCTACCTCCTCTCAGCTAGCTAATTCACTCAGTATAGGACAGCCACTTTTTGGAGTGCCTGACAAAAAAAGGATCTGGATTAAAAACGACACGTCAAGCTAAAAGATGTCCGTGACACTGCAGACCCCCTGCATGCCAAATGTGTAATCTTTTATAAAGAAGAAATTGTAAAAAAAAACAAAAAACAAAAAAAAAAAAACATGTCGGCACCACATTACCGCCATATGCCGACCACTTATGAATGGTCAAAGGCTCCATGATATAAATATTATTATTTCTCTCTCACACACACACACACACACACACACACACACACACACACACACACACACACACACACACACACACACACACACACACACACACACACACACACACACACACACACACACACACACACACACGCACGCACGCACGCACGCACCTCTTTTACTGTTGCTAATAGAGGCCGAGTTGCTCTCTTGAGGACCCTTCAACAGAACAGGATGAGCCAAATGTGTCTCCCCCTGTGGGTCGTCCTGCTTCTACTTAGTCTGACTGGATGAGAACAAATGAAGAGTCTGAACTGTTCCTTAGCAGAGCCTCACAGACGTGGCCTCAAGAGAAAAAAGGCAAAACATCGGCTTCTCCAGACTCTAAAAGTTTGTCCCACTGCTCCCGTGGGCCCTCACCAAAACAACGATTCAGTTTTTTCAACAATCAAATAATATTTATTTAATGTATAAATAAGCCACACGAAAAATTCATTTGCTGATTATTTATTTGGGCAGCCCAAGTCCTGATACATAAACTGATATCCATCTTTAGCAAAATGTTATAAAAAATGGCTCCACTCACATATTCAGCATAGTTTTCTGGGGTGAACCAAGTTGTGGTTTCTGGCTGGATTTCAATCAATTTTAAAAATGAATTCCACCTGTCTGACCCTGCATGAATTCTAGGAAACATGAACGACATAGCGGAGACCTCCCACATGCATGCCTGCTGGGATTAAAGATCACAAACGCACACAGCTGAGCCGCAAACCCCTCAGCAGTGTCTTTGAGTCGAGTCTGGCTTTCCTCTAACAATCTGCTGCAAAGAGTTAGGCAACACTTAAAAAAGAACTGAAAACTATTCAAAGAAGATATTAAAAAGGTTTCTTGAAGAGAGGACTCTGAATAATCGTTTTAGAGTTTCTAGCTCCCCCGTGTGTCCGGTGAAAGCTCAGTTTTAGCTTTCGTGAGCCAAAAGTTTGCAGAAGTTTCCTGGAAGGTGGCCAGAGTTGTCTCAGCCTTTCAGTCAAAGTCAGCCTAACAAACATGATGAGGGTGTGAATAAGAGCACAGAACAATCTGCTCTTTAACTGTATTATTTCCTGCTATTTCAGCTGTTAACTTTATTTTCTCTCCAAGTGTTTTTCTCCCCAGAAGAAGCTACAACGATGTTCTGCTGAGCTGTGGTGGCCTCATGGAGGGGGCCATCGACTAGCACACTGCTGCTAACCACTTAAACATTCTCCCTCTCCTGATAATAACTTTTTACTCTCTTTGACGTTGAATGTGCTACTACTAGTTTACCCGTTTAATTATAGATTCACTAGGATAAATACAATAAAGTTTACCTCTCACCAAATAGAATATTTACTATGACATCACAATGTAACCATAGACACATTGCTTGGTGTGTGTGTGTGTGTGGTGTGTGTGTGTGTGTCTGCTCTGTCTTCTCGATCCCCAGTGAGTCGTGGAGGATGGCTGCTTATACTGAGCCACCATCCTCTGGAGGTGTCTTCCTGTTAAAAGGGAGTTTTCCTCTCCACTGTCGCTGCATGCTTGCTTAGTATGAGGATTGATTGATGCAATTTGCTGGGTTCCTTATATAGGACACATTATTTCTGATTGGCCTAATGAACTGTGAATTGGAATGTTTATTATGTGAAGTGCCTTGAGACGACTCTTGTCGTGATTTGGCGCAATATAAATAAACTTGAATTGAACAGACTAACTTCATTCACTTAGAGGGGACACGGAACAAAAAAAAAGTTAAGGTCATAAAACACTTCTACTCACTTGTGCCTGCACTGCCAGGTGAAAAGCTCCCTTTTTGAAGGGCAGCAGGTCACCATTCTGGTTGCGTGTTCCCTCTGGGAACACCCACAGCCGAATCTAGAGTGGTTAAAACACAGAGGAGAGTGATTTAATCACCAAATCAACAGAAACCACTTTAAAATGACGTGTGTTGACTAAACTAATTACCTGCTCATCAAGCATGGTTTTGGCGGCCTCAGCCATGACGCTCTTGGCATCGCTCGTCTTCTTGCGGTTGATGAAGACGATGCCACCCAGCCAGCAGATGAGGCCCACTGTGCCAGCATAAACCAACTCCTTCTTTGCAATTGTGGTGCAGCGGTCGGGTAAGATCTCCATTAGGCCTGAGGAGCGAAGGAAAATACACTTCCTTTTTACACTACCTCACACTATAGGAGAGATTCGCTGAAATTACAGTTCATTCACTTCTTTGTAAACATCTACTCAAAGTTTTGGGATGACTAATGGACTGCAAAAAAAAAGTGAGTAAACAAGGTGGTCTGCTGTTGAAGAGGGCGAAAATACATCCTTCCTTTCTAAATAAAAGGACTTAAATACATCTATCTGCTCCCGATTTTAATAAAGCCAAAGTAAAAAAAAAAGTCCCAAATGGATTTTAAATGAGCCGTCGTCATCTTGTTCCACTCCGTCGCATCATTCTGCCCTCCAGACGTATAGAGGGCCCTGATTGGCCCACAAAGCGGATAGAGAGCTGTGCTTGGTACACCACTGTGGACCAGTCATAACGTATTTGTATGAAATCCCTACAGAATTTGGTCTAGTTCACTAGGCTAGTGGGCTCTAGTATGAATGAATGAATGTTAAAACATTTTCTTTGGAAAAAAACGCTTTTATGCTTCATTATAGCGGGTTAGAAGTTTGCTGGAGGAGTGGGGGCAGAAAACAGCCGGATTACGAGTCTTACTATTATTTATGATATGCAAACATCTCACCTCTGATTGGCTAACATCAAAGGGCCCTCTTCTGCCAACTTTGTATAGAAAACTCAGATTACTGCAAAACATTTTCTTGGGTGAAAAAAACCACAACGTTGATGTTTTATCTCAACAAATATCCATCCATCCATCCATTCATCCATTTTCGGCCGCTTATACGGAGTCGAGTCGCAAGGGTAGTAGCCTAAGCAGGGAGGCCCAGATTTGCCTCTCCCCAGCCACTTGGACCAGCTCCTCCGGGGGAACCCCAGGGCATTCCCTGACCAGTCGTCAGACATAGTCTTTCCAGTGTGTCCTGGGTCTTCCTTTAGGCCCTCGCCAGGCTGGACGTGCCCGGAAAACCTCACCAGGGAGGCACCCTTACCAGATGCTCGAGCCAAACAACTGGCTCCTCTCGATGTCGAGGAGCAGCGGCTCAACTCCGAGCCCCTCCTGAATGACAGAGAGCCATCCTGCGGAGAAAACTCACTTCGGCCGCTTGTACCCGCGAAATCATTCGTTCGGCAACAACAAATAATACAAGCTTAAATGTGGAGTTGCTAATGTTGATGATTAGCTTCTACTAGCAGCCAATTACCCTGCTCTCTCCTTAAAGCCAAGCCAGGATGGGCAGGGCCATGAATGCTCATTTCCCCAGTGATGTAGAAGAAAGCGACTTTTTCCTGACCCAGTTTTTTTCTTACTTCCTATCTGCACCAAATGCAGACGATGGGCTTTTTTTTTTCACCTTCAGTACGCGTATGCAACTCAGAATGAGAAATTATTTTCCTAGATAGACATTTGATGAAGGGTCAACAATATGTTCAAAATACAGCACAGATAAATAGCCATTATCCAATGATAATATGAGTTGATTCACGAGAGCCACGCAGAATGCAGACAGCACAGTAGAAGCCAGACATGCTAACAGCTAATCTTTGTGCAGGGGCAGTCTCTTACTTCAGATAAGTAAAGAATCACCGTTATGGCTGCTGCCTCTTTGGCCTGGGAGCAGCAGTACAGAACCCTGGTCACCACTTATCCTCCTATCTCCTACCTGCACAGCTGCGCCCAGTCACCTAATCAGCACCTGGCAGCTTAAAAAGGAGAGTTACCAGAAGCACAGGAGGGTTCAGATCTGTGCTGATGCCCTACTCACTCCATATAGCCTGAAAAGGCTTTGTTTGTAAAAGGAACTGCAATGTTTAAGACAGCGATTGATCAGAAGAGCCTGAATAAGCTCTTCCGGTGTGAAGCCTGTTGGTGACATGTTGTTCAGAATGGAAAGGGGACTCTGACCTGTGCCGATGTCACCTCTGTGATATAGCTTTGTGGAAGCTTTAATATATTTGACATATTGGACCCAAAAGAGGGTCATCACCTCCTAAACCCAGCAGGCACGTGAATGCTTACAGGAACGTATAAGTTAAAAGCATCTGTGGATAGAGAGGGCTCAGATCTGAGCCGATGCCCTGATCACGCTGTCCTGATAGCTCACAATAAACAAAGCCTTCTCAGGCTACCAAATATTTGAGGAACTGAGTACCATTTCAAGTAATCTATGTATTTGTTGAGAAATCAGAAATGTGTTGTGCCAGTTGTTCCCATCATTTGTGATGAAAAATGTATTTAGGTTTTTTATAAAAAAAAAACCTTTAAAACAACATTTGTCTTCATAAAAAAAGGCATTTGTCCAAAGTTGTTCGTGTCTTGTGGTTGTGATGAACCAATTCCATTTGACTGTCAAACTCCTGGTCCTTTTCTCCTTATGTTCCTTCTTTCTCCAACGCTGGGAACACAGCATCAGTGTGTTGTCTGACAGTAATAACTGTCCACGTGTAACACACAATCATGTAGCAATGTGCAGCCACATGATTTAAATAAAGCCTCAAACCTAATTATTTTCACAGAAGGATTTTTTTACACTCTGTTAATAATTTCAGCCCTACTACTCACAAAGGAAATGTAAAATTCACCAATATATTTATTTATATGGGACATTTCATACACAGAAGCAATCCAGTGTGCAAGATCAACACAGACTAAGCTAGTCAGCAACAGCAAAAACCCAGTGAGATATTAGTTTAAAATTCACAATAGGGCTGCAACAACGAATCGATAAATTCGATGAAAATCGATTACTAAAAGCGTTGGCAACGAATTGCGTCATTGATTCGTTGTGTCGCACAACTCTTCCAAAAGTTTGTTGCATTTTTCAAACATGAAGAGGGAGTGGAGTTAGACTCTGGTAGGGGTTGACTTGCTCTTTAAGCTGTTTAACTTGGACCAAGCATTTTAGGTCACAGATAGGTGTAGCTTAGGGTCTCTGTCTATACACCTTATAAGACTATTTAGGTGATGGCATGTTGTTTTTCTGCTATTGAACTGTTTTCTAATAATGTTGTGTTTAATAAAGTGAAGGAAGGAGAGAAATAACGTTTCCCTAGCAGTTTTTAAAAATGTCCACATGTAATCCGATTAATCGATTAATCGTGTCGAGACCCGATCCGATTCATCGATTATCCAAATAATCGTTTGTTGCAGCCCTAATTCACAGTATCTTAATAAAGTATGTTATTGTGATATGACATTAATAGCCAATGTAAAACTAGCAATACTGTGTAAACAACCTGAAAGAAAAAAATAGTTTCACCAACTTTAAAAAAGTAATTCACTTTCCTATTAGAGCTGAAATAGTTTCTGCGTTATAATCAAAACATTGCAATAGTTAATTAAAGCTGAGAAAAATGAGTTCTTTCTGGAAAATCACTGTGGGATTTATTTAGTTTGAACGTCTGTCGCATTCTGCGTAAGCCCAATAAGCACCAAGTGCATAACTGCTATTCGAGAGTGGAGGTTATAACCGTGAGTGAAAAACCAGGGCTGGAAAAGTTACCGCATTTTCATGCGATGTATGGGCTTAATATATTTCTTGCCACCAGAGGGAGCGAGAGCACCACCATCAAACCCACAGAAGAAGAGCTCATCAGATGATCAAATAAATTTACTCAAAAATGAAGCGGTTAGGAAAATGCACAGTGTGGGAGCATTTTATATTTGTTAGTTAACAAAATAAGGCCAACATCAGAGCGCTGAGCTTGGAAAAATGTGGAAATAAAGCTGCACAGCTAAATTAAGCATGACCAGCAACAGGTTAGTCTGCCAGCTTGGTTTCTGCTTCCTGTAGTTTGTTTGGTAAAATAAAGAAACGTTGGTGTAATTATTTAGTTCAATGTAAGGAAACGAAAGAGTTTTCTAAAAGCATGGCCTCCAGAATGCACTGGTAAGCAGCGCTGGGATGCCGGACGGCCCGTTAAGCAACAGATCCTGACGGACATTTCAGCTCTTAATCCCACTAATGTTTTAGTTTATGAATGTTGTAACTAGTGTGGGACTTTGGTTGTGTCAGAACTTATGTTAAAAGAGTAAGTGGAAAAGCGCCTGTATTGGAGGAAAGGTTTGTTTCTCTGTGTGCGTTTGTGGGGGCTGGAGGGAGAGTTTACGGTTAACCGGGTATTAACCGTTTAATGGTTTCAATAAATTGTGGAATACGTGCATCCCTAATGTTAAGGTATTAATACGCTTGACCAGTACTTATTGCACATTGATGTGAGCAGGGGTTATGTGGCACAGGTGTTAAGTGCTCGCCCCGTAAATGGAAGGTTGCAGGTTCAAGCACCTCTCAGTTTGTCGCTGTTGTTGTGTCCTTGGACAAGACACTTATCCCCCTTGCCTGCTGGTGGTGGTCGGAGGGACCGGCGGCGTTCTTGCTCAGCAGCCTCGCCTCTGTCAGTGCCCCCCAGGGCAGATGTGGCTGCATCGTAGCTCATCCCCACCAGCGTGTGAATGTGTGTGTGTGAATGACTGATTGTGTTGTCAAGTGCCTTGGGGGGTTACAGGACTCTAGAAGGTGCAGTCGCGGGGGGTGCACGATTTTTACTCTGACAAAATAGCCTAAGGGTATCAGTAAACAGTGTCAGGTAACATGCAGTGCGTTTACATGCAGCCAGTAACCCTTTAAAACCCGAATATTCACAATAACCCGGTTCCGCAGGTCCTTGTAAACACCGCCAAAAACCCGGATATGCTCATAACCGGGTTTTTAAAAACCCGGTTACTACACCTGGGGTAACCCTTTTCTAAACCGAATGTTTGGTCGTGTAAACGCATACCGGGATTTCCCCATCAAAGCGTGTGTTCTGCGCATGCTCTGTTCACAAGGAATCTTGGTCTTTTGAGTAGCGAGACGTCTTGTATGCGCCAGAACACCGGAAGTAAACAACAAGTTGGGAGCAAAATGGCGAGTCGCGGCACAGCACCACACTTTTGGAGTGACGAAGAAACTAAAGAGCAAACAAACGCGGTCGCTATCTCTTCCGAACTGGGAAACATGTTGTTTTCACGGATAC